CCACAGACACACACCCACAAAACATTTTAATTCAACGTTTTAAAAATACCTCATTCTTTAATCTGTGGCAGAGAGACTTACAGTACTGAAACAGCTGGGAAGGACTAAAAACTTTAAGTTATGAATCTCATAAACGTTTTTCCTCAATTATATTATTGTAAGAAAAATTACAACTTTGAGGCAACTTATTTTGCTCGCGTACGATATTTTCTTTATTGATTTCCAGTTACCTTTCTTTGGCTCGACAAGCCTGCTCGTCTTTTTTATCTCGCTTTTATTCAAAATCCTCAAAATCCTCAAGAGGATAAAGAAGATACGTCGCGAATGCCAATACCCCCATTCAAATAGTGAAAAGGTAATGTCTTCTAATCCGTATGGATCAAAATGTTATCGCGAAACATTATTGATATGTTTCAGATGGTGATGGGGTGGGATGGGGACGGTTTAGGAGGGTAGTAAATAAAACCGACGTCATTTTTATGGGGAGGAGAGACGAGGACGACATTGTATATTAATAGACAACTGTGGTTGACTGTAAAATTATCAGCCGCAATCATGTAGGCTATTGTGTCATTGACGTATTTATATTCTAGAGCTGCTGATAATGTTTGATTTTCTGTCACTACCCGAATCGTGTTGCTTGCTTTCACTCATGTTTTGATTTATCTTGTATCTACGAAAAATGTGTATTGCGTAGTATGAGGTTTAAAACAGGAAGATCAACTGCTGAGTGTTCTAATTCAGTGAGCGCTTCATGGCTATGGCAACACAATCAGGAATTAATTTAGTGCCGAATATTAGACACGCTACTGGAGAGTGATAATAATATACTAGTATATTATGCTCTGAGCGCTTTACATCAATCACATGATCACCGAGTAACATACATAAATAAGGGGACAGGGATAACGTAGACAGACCAAAGTGCGGTCACACTTGCCTGACTGCGGCCAATTTCTATGAGTTACTATAATGAATAGTCCTTTTCTGAATCTTAAATTAGTCTGCTCTCCTATATGTGACGTCTCCTAAGTTCAACGAACCTTTTCAATAATCAAATTTCTTTCCTCCCTTCTGCGACGCGAGGAAGGTGTCAGTTTCGGCATCTGTTGTTTCGAGCTTTCACAACTTTGCTTTTAATGTTTTTGGGTAGGTTTTGTGGGTTATATCGATCCAATATATCCTGCTGATTTGAGGTTTTTAAACAGCAATGGTGCAAAATACTACAAAAAGAATTAATAAACTGCATAATATGTTTGTGCCTGCTTGAAATAAAATATTGATTGAATCATTTTCAGCGGAGAAACATACGTGGCCATGCTGAAGTAAAGGCAACTTCCTCGTGTGGCTTAAGGCAGCCAGGCATGGCCCGGGTGTTATTGGGTTTGTTTTTAATGTGTGGCGTCGGTAGCCTAGTGGTTTGGCTCTCGGACTCGCAACCGTAAGGTCGTGGGTTCGAATCCTGTCAGGGGGCCGACGTTATGTCCTTTGGAAAGCCACTTTACATGAGTTTTCCTCACTTCACCCGGGTGGCAATGGGTACCAAGCTATAGACAGCGAAAGAGTTCAGTTTTTCAGTGTTTGAGCGCTTAATCAGCTGGTTGCATGTTTGCTTTCCGAGAAGTTGAGAATGTTTCAGAGTGTTATATTGTCAGCTGTGGCAATAATATAGGGTAAAGCGCATAGAGCTTGCTGTTGCGCGGGGGTATGCGCTATACAAATGCTATCTATTATTATCTATTCTTCTTTTTATTATTCTCCTTATTATTATTATTATTATTATTATTATT